AAAAAACCTGCCATCGGAGTTTCAAGTTACTGTAACTCAAGCCTCATTTCTCGAAAGTTACTATATTGCTGTCGGAATTATTTTGCTAACTAGTCACAGTCCATCTGATCTGGGATTGTAAATATGAATTTCAAAGTTCAATGTAATATTTATCTTTGCGATACCCGTATGGGTATTTATTTTTGAATCTAGACCAAAATGTTATTACATAAAATTGGTCCAGGCCAAGAATAATTACCCGTGTTACACATATTTATGCAAGCATAATAATTTGCAGTCAATTTTAAGTGAGCGCGGATCCCTGAGGCTTTAAAAGGCGGTTGTGTGCCAAATAATAACTCAGCCAATAATTAATACAAGTTTCGTGCCATAGAATTAAAAAAGAATTTTCCAATTGAAGATCTTTTACCAAAAAGAGAAATGATCTGCGTTACACGAATCTGAACTGTTATTCTGCAAGTATTATGTGGTTTATTTAGATCATAGTATTTCAGACGTATTTTTTAATCATTATAATATTGACAAAAAAAGAGTTATCATTTGTAGGAATAGCTATACCGACTTTGCCATCTTTATAATGCAGATATATTATTTCTATAAAAGTAAAAGTTACGCATGTCACGATCCATGCGGAATCTAATTAAGTAGTACATGTACAACGTACTTTAAGTAGCAATCTAATTGGTTTAAGAGTAATAAATTTTAAGAGTTTTAAACCAATAATGTTAGACATTTACGTGTGTGCTCGACCCAAAAAGGGAATTGAGTCAATTGGTGAATCAGCTCGACTCGTGAGCAGAGCGAAAAAAAACGTTGAGAACAGCAACAATACAAGATAATGGATGTTTTCTTAACTTTAAATTTCTAATTCCACATACAGTACGTCTTGGTTATGTATATCAGCTGACTAAAAAATGTTACACGACTAATTAAAAATTGTGTTGGATCGGCTAGAGCTAGCTATTTTTAACTAAACAATCCAATTTTTGATCATGTGTCACTCACAAAAGTGATGCCACGTACTGTATTATTATTCTTATTGCGGTTGAGTACTAAAAAAGAAAATAAATCAGAGCAATATCCAATAAAAAATCTTTTTTTTTTTTTTGATATGCATTCACATGGACATATATTGCAATATATTGCAAGATCTTGAGAGCTTGGTTCTCTAGAAACCGTATGAGTTCCTAAATTTATGAATTTTTTATAGATAAATTTTTTAAGTATAGAAAATTACTATAATTGCAACATGGAGCACACATCTAATAATAGGTCCAATAACGAAGATATCAAATTTATCAAAAAGCTACAAAGTGAAAATATTACCTTAATCAGTTACTCGGAAGTTAAAAATACAAAATTTATAAAAACTATGCACTATGGGGTTACCGTAAGAGGCCAATGGCGTAATCATAACGTAATTATGAAACATATATCCAATGAATTAACGAATCGGAAGATTGAA